TGTTTGGAAAGTCCCCCACGACACAGGATTTATTCCTAGTGCGGAGGTTGTCGAAAAAAAATGGGATTTGAAATCGAACGAGGCAACTTCTGAGGCGACTCTAGAAGATTAAGATAACGAGCATAGTTCTTACGAGTGTATAATTGTTAGACGGGTGGTTTTAATAATAATATCACATATTTAAAATACGTTAATACCACAACGATGATGATTCATAACCATAAAATGTCGCATAAGTTATTTATTTTCTTATTCACAAAACACTATTTATAGCTCAAATTATCTGTTATAGAAGAAGGATAAAACATGCAAGTATTTAGAAATACTCTTTTCAAATACAAACTGTCGTCACAAAAGGTTTGTTAAATAAATTAATTTACTGGTTTGTCATCTTTTACTTAACAGAACTTGATTTTATAGACCTTTCTTGAATTTCGTTTGATGCATTTCGTTAATTTATTATTGTTACAATTATAATTATCTTTTGAATGAGTTGTTAAGAAAGCCTAAATCAAATTAAATCTAAAAAAAATAGATAAAAAAATTAATTCATTACACCATTTTTCACATTTTTTCTGAGCTCCAGGCCTAGCTTTAGCCTAGTAAACGATCACATTGATTTCATTCATGTGTTTAAATGCTGTCATGTGTAAAATAATAAAGCGGCAATGTGCGTGTGATTACCGAGTTTTATTATGGTATTTTAACCCGATAGCTACAGTCAATTAAACAAGACAATGGTAGAGAATATTATGATATTTATTACGGTTTTTTTACTTGTTTTAGGTAATCTAATAATTTGCTAAGCTTCTAAATGACGTTGTAAACTACTTTTTGAAGTTACTTTAACCCAATATTTAATTATTGTAGTGTCAAAATGAAACTTTATTTTACTGACAATTTACATTTGCGAGCGGAAACACACCTGCAGCTCCGATTACGTCTGTCTGTGTCACTCTTCGTGAATAGTTTTAATTAATAGCATAATTTAGCATTCATAGTTCCGAATTTTGAGGTATAATTTATTTTATGTTTAAGTAAAAGAGTTAAATTTTTAGCCAGTGATCATTGAATGATCACTGAGACTGAGATCAATATCTATCTTAATATGAGGAAACATTAACAAGGTTTAAGGACTTCAGCTTTGTAAAACAGCTTTTACAGTGCTGTAGTCATCAAAGCACACGCACTCAAAAAGGAAAGTGTAAACGGTTCCACACTTTTTATGGCATAGGAGGTCCATCGAGCAGACGGGTCACCTGATGGTAAGCGATTGTCACCGCTCATGGACACCTGCAACTTAAGGGTCCTGGTCTTGGCGACCGTCGAACTCTCTCCAGGATCAGGGTATGAGGTTTTGGCTCCGATAACCTCACTTACTCGATGGATAGTAACCAAAGAATTGAGCCGACTAAAGGAGCAAACTACGCAGGACAACAGCACTGCAAAGAGAGGGAAAACTTGAAACAAACCCTATACCAACTCGTTTGGCCAGCGTGGTATGGTAGGTCAAAACCTCCTTTCTAAGAAAAGGCCTATGTCCAGCAGTGGACTATTACAGGCTGTTGGTGATGGTGATAAGTAAATATGGATTTTTTTTTGTTAAACATCTCGTAAACGAGCAGGTTATCTGATGGTAAGTTACCAGCAATGGACTATCAAAGGCTGGTGATGTGATGTGATGGATTGTTTAACACCGGTTTTCTGTGAAGCCGAGGTATCCGAGGTCGGTCGAGCCTGGCCCATTTTTGCCGAAAAATAGCTCTCCCACGGTAAACACTTTGATAAGACAAAAACCTAGTTCGGTTCTTAAAAGGATTGTCTTCATTTTCTTCTTTTAAGTGGCGTAGAAAACCATTATTAATTGTGTCTATATAAGGAAAAAAAATGAATCAATAAATGACATGGTATTAAAATCACTCACTCGTATAAATATATTACTACATATTCAACGCATCAATATCCTTTAAAACCGAATATTGCGGTTGAGTGACACTTAATTCTTCGAATATTTTACGATACAGGTTGAAAACAATATTTCACGCTTAAGATCTAAGTGGCTTTTCCTTTTTTTAGATGTTATCTGAACGACTCGACAGCTATTGACAAATCTCCTAATTCGATATGACAGGTGACAGTTGATTTTGCCATATGAAAATACTTTCTATTGTTTACGTGCCATGAGATTCTAGTTGACCTATACATAAAGATATAGGTAGCGTGATCTGGCAGCTGAGTGAGCTAAAGCTGTATCAGCTTTACGGTTTTGCTGTGGCCTCATTAGCATTTATATGAACGCCGCAATTTGATTTTAACGAGCTTTGTTCGAAAAACTGTTAGGGCTTTTATAGAGTTTAAAACAAGCTTCTGCTATACACATGAAGTTTTTTCTCCTTGCATCGTATTATTATATAAAGCAGGAATCATTCAATGTTTTGTCATAGATTATAATCTATTCTATACATTCTATACAAATAAATAAAATTGGAGTGTCTGTTTGTAATACTAAAATAACCGCTTTTTACTAAATGCATGTGTTTACACGGTACATATGCCAAAATAACATTTTTACAATTTTTGTCTGTCTGTCTGTCTGTTTGTTCCGGGTAATCTCTGGAACGGCTGGACCGATTTCGGCGGGACTTTCACTGGCAGATAGCTGATGACATAAGGAGTAACTTTTTTTAGACTAGCTTCGCCCCGCGCCGTTGCCCGCGGTTATAACAACAAACGTGGGTAACACCGCGGGTCTCAGCTAGTATATTAATAAGGTGATTTTAATGTTATACATATAAAATTATTTTATTGACTGAGTGATTCCTCAACGCAGAGCCTAGACCGTTTTGGCTACAAACTCGAAATTTTGGCAACTAATTATTTTTATGTTCTAAGCACCCACTAAGAAATGGTTTTTGAAAACACCCCTAAGAGGGTAAATTAAGGGATGCACGGTTGTATCTAAGTTCGTAATTTTCAAAGTTGTAAATACGAAATAACCACGCTAGCGAAGCCGCGAACAATAGCTAGTAGTATAATAGGTCTTTAACTTTTTTTACCGTAAATTGCCGTTTTGTATGCAATAAGTGAAAGTACTCATTTTTTCAAACTTTTTTGTTTCTGTTATTCGAAGTAATCACCCATGCAATCGACGCATCTTTGCCAACGCATTGGCAGTTTATAGATGCCCTTCTTGTAAAAATCAGCTGGACGGGAGGCAACAAACTCTTCAAAGGCATTTTGTACTGCCTCTCGGGAATTGAATTTTTTACCCACTAAAAAGTTGTCTAAATTTTGGAAAAAGTAATAGTCGGTAGGTGCAAGGTCTACTTCGAATAACAGAAATAAAAAAGTTTAAAAAAATAAATACTTTCACTTATTGCATACAAAACGGCAATTTCATAGGTAAAGACCTAATATATGAAGAAGAGTTAAGGATATCTATTGAAAACAAATATTGTGTCTTCTAAAATTAGGCCTTAGATAATAAGAGCAAGACGAAAATACAATAAGATTACCGGTATGAATATGGTCGAAAACGGCCATTTTGCAAAATAGAGATGAAAAAATTGGGGGTATTTTAAAAGTAGCAGGATAATAAGAAGGAACGTCAATGGTGGGGACGCATGGATTAAATAGATTGACGATCGTTAAGCTATTATTCCAGTAGACGTCCTAGTTTGAGTTATTTCACTTTAACTCACTCTCGACGGCGAGCGCGTTTGGCGTCAGGATTGGTGAAGATTTAAGTGCGGGCCAATAGCAACACCTAACACGGTCACCGGGGCGATCGAGGAAAAGTGAAATAAACCTATACTGAGGTCTTTTAAATCGTACTCAGATTTCAGGGTGCTCTAATAAGTTATGATTATATTGTATTCTTATAATATCATAATTAAAAAATAATTAAAAACTGCTCTATCGTTGAACGTTTAAGGATAATCGGAGAACTATCCGCCTTGACCCCGCTGACACTATTTCAAATATTTGTGTTAATTGTCCTTGTGTGACACACCTATTATTACCCCGCGTAGTCTGTAGCGCTCCTTGAGCGGTGAACGTACGTTATTGTGACCAGTTAAAAACCATTAGCAGACCATCTGTTGTTTTTTTTTTCATTTTTTTACACCATCACTACGTACAGTCATAACATATGCAGTGAAATAAAATTCACTGTGCATAAACTGTCGTGAACAAGCCTACCAGAAAGCAAAAGAGGCCGAGGATGTCTACCATGTCAAAGGAGGTTGTCCTTTGCCTTGGTGGACCAGTATGACGAACAATCTGGAAGAGACTCGATCCGCCAACCCTTGTGACAATGTCTTGGCACCGTGAAATAAAAATAGCCGACCTCAAAAAGAGAGGGCAAAGGCTAGGAAGAATAAGATTTTAGCTTACAATTAATTACAATTATTACTTATGTTTATATTATCATTGCTTGATAAAAATTCCTAACAACTTAATCTCAAATGTTAACTTACAAATTCAGAGAATAAATAAAAAACCATTTGGATGACAATCTGATGAGATCTGTAAAATGGATTTCTTTTTTTTAAATAGGCATCGGTATACTAAAAAAATCGATCTAAGTGGCGTGCAATGGGAAAAGCCTATGTCCAGCAGTGGACTGCGATAGGCTGATGATTATGATGATACTTTAAACCAGGGATTCCCAAACTATTTTGGACAAGAGACCCCTTTTCTAAAATGAACTGATCCCTCAGACCCCATAGCCAAATTACTGTACGCTTTTCGACTACTTGAGTTTTTTAAAAGTACAACAAAGATACTTTGTACTAAAATATTAGTAATTCTTATAACAAGTTACCAGCTTGTTATAAGAATTAAATTACGTAACACAACTAATACACTTCTTGAAAGTTTCAAATTTCAAATAAGAACTTGTGTTAATTAATAGGGGTCATTTATTTATTTATACCGTCGTAAAGATGTCCCTTAGTTTTTAAAAAATATGATTTTTAATATTCATTTTTAAACTGCAGATCGCATTTGGTTGGAGACAATGGTTGAGGTGCCTTCTGGAGTAGGCGATGACGACGAGCACTGGACGTCCACTAACAATGTAAGTTTATAAACAACTGTCCTGTGTCTGTGTAGATTGGGCAAAAGAGCAGACGTCTTGCCTGATGGTAAGTGATTACCGCCGCTCACGGCCACCTACAGCCTAAGAGTCAGAAGTGCGTAACCACACTAGAGTCTCCCTCCTAAAATAGGGGGAAGCGGGCCTCACTCGCTCGGTGAAAAGAAACGCAGAAATTGTTTGACACCGGTTTCCTGTGCGCCCATGTTATCACTATGTCGTGCCCTCTCACAGCCCTTTTCTGGTATATGGGACTAAGCCATTCCACACACCCACTACTGTAACTCCTGTGCATCAGGATTAAATAAACGAACACACCGAGTAATGACACTCAAGAAGTCCCAGTACATGTTTATATTATGTAGCTATTGGACGCGACTTGGCTTGCGTTTGTAAATTCAATTAGGGACGCTATCCCCCGGGGATGATACGTTTCTTCCCTATGTTCCATTCTATATCCCCAGTTAACCCAAGAAAGCGAAACAAGCAAACTCACTTTTACGTTTGTAATATTAGTTAGAGTTATATCAAGTAATAAATAACTTTTAAAATAATTTGTTCTGTTTTCATATAACGCGTAAATGCGAAGGCGCTAACATATATTGAGGACAGGCAACTTCCGTAACATAATTGTAGCAACAACTCATAGGCTAACTTCTTCCAAAGTAACCAGCCTTCCGCTTAATAGAGTTGGGAGAACGCTTTTAGGCGGATAGCCAATCGAGCTTACGCTTAAGTCCATTTATTACGTACCATTGAGTTAAAACAACACTAGAGAAGCAAACCTCATTATCACACGTCGAAAAAAGTGTAACCACTTTTGAACTTTGACGACGTAGCTTTGATACCACGAAACATTTGAAAGTAAACATATTTATGTCTCATTTACACGCGAGACAAGAACAATACCATCGCTCGGATTAGACAAAGACAAAGATATAACTTTACGATGGTGGGCCAGTGTTGACTACCGTATGAAATTTTACCCATAACAACTAAGAAACAATTTTTTTTAAAAACAATTTTGTAATAAAATAAATTAATTTAAATATTCTAAATAATATATTTCGAATTGAATAGAATAGGTATAAATAATAAAATAACTGGAAATATTTGGTTAAAAGGGTTTATATTCAGTGTAAAATCAAACTGCGCTGTGAAGCATCAGTTTTGTATACAATTGTCTTTTAGACTCTTTTTTATAAGTTTGTGTGGATATTTTACTTTCATGATACAATCCTATTTTTACGTATGTAAAAATAATAGCATTTAATAATAAAAGTGAATGATCAACTTGTACTGATAATAAATAATCCCCAGGGTGTATTGCAAATTCTATTATAATTTAAAAAACAAATAAAAAAAAAAAAAAAATTATTTTTATTTTATAAAAAAAATTATTTATGTTTATTTAATTTTTTATTTTATATTTTTATGATAAACATTTATTATTATTATTATTATTATTTTGTACAATTATTATTTAAAAATTGATAATAAATTAAGAAAAACAATAAATTAATTTTTTTCTACAAAAGTCTCCAGCAGAGCAAAGAGCTTGGCAGAAGTACCAAGCTCGCAGTGAACGTTCAACGGGTCCCTAAAAAAAGGGATCGGTCCAGCCCTAACAACTACCGTTCTTGCTATATTTTATTATTATTGGCAAAATGTTTAAAAACAGGATAAAGCATATTATTTCATAAATTATAAATTCTCCCACTAATGTGGGAAAACCAAAATGATTTTTTAATGGTAACACTGATTCTAAATTACAATTATCAGTGTTTAATTTCAATTATAGCCTTATTTACGATATTATCAATACAAAAACCATAAACTTACACGTGAAAAGTAATTCCGCATGATTTATTAATGTTTTGTGACCTTGAATCGCATTCTTTCACTACGCATTTAGCCATTTTAGCGATTGCTACTGTCATGTGTCGCTATGTTCAACTCGGTTGACGCCACATTGAATAATGAATTGACGTTTGTTACGCATATGCCTGTGGACATATGTGCAGTAGCAACGATTTTAGGCGGTAATTACTCATCTATGTAAGTATTATATCAATGTTACGTACCGTCCAGTTAGGGAGGGAACTTCGTCTTAATCCTTATGAATCGAGGCTTGGCTAAATGTGGGTACATTTTTTGTTATTTTTATGGCTGTCAGTCGTTACTAAGGTAAATGGAATGCATTTAATGAGTACACTTTGGCAAGACAATACACACAGTAGGCATTTACCGAAGAAATATAGTATTTTTATATCATATTTAATTCGTTTACGGGTTTACGGTGGGGCGGTGTGTCGGCATCGGACCGACTAAAACCACACGGTTTGCCACTCTGCGCCTGTAATAGGAGGGATCCGGGAACTGCTGTTATTAAGACGTCCGGACCCATCCTAGCGCCTGCCCGCAATGGCGCAGGCACCACTCGTTGAAAACCAACGAAATTTTTTTAACCCTGTTTTCTGTAACTCCCTGGTATCACTCGATCTGCCGAAACATGGCTCTCCCACGGAAATAAAAAAATGATTAATCAAATAATGTGATCATTACCTCAATATCTTTACTTTCTACTATCAATTACTTTCAAATCTATTTAAAGAACAAGTGTAAACATATCGGGACGACATCGTCGAGACTGGACGGCGCCGTAACGTTTAATATTCGCTTGCTTCTCGCCTCGACAGCTGTAAAATGAATACTTTCTGTGTATTATTATGTCACCTGTAATAATACTACATTTACGGCCTTGCGTCCGTGCAGAAGTTTCTTTAAGATGTGCCAGTAAATATCAAAATTGTAGATTTTGAACAAATGGACTTTACATGTTTACTTAAATAAATGTCTGCTATAAATAACTATTGGTATTGATATAATTAAGACTTTCCTGAGTGGTATTTATATCACTTAACGATATATTGTCTTACCTTTTTATGAGCGCCAAGCGCAACAATGCGGTGTACCGCCAACATCTAGGTTTTACCTCTTGAAAAGCGGCCTTACAAAGGTATACCTAAAATACAGACGGAAGAGATATCGTATATCTACAATAATGTTGTTTCTAGCTGTGGTTTTGGTCTGAGCACTCATTTCCTTGTTTATCCGAACAATGCAGCAAAGTTACGCTAACTTTTAAACTATCGTGTATCATTAAACATCGGTTATTATTATCCGGGAATTTCTTTTTTTGGATTGCCTGAAGTTCCGAACAAGTTGCGTTGGCAGTGGTCACACTAACCGCTTTACTGGTGCGCGCCCTCTGACGTCCTGATTGAAAATCTCATAAATCGACATTCGGTGGAAAGGACTTGCTTACATTAACATTCAGTCAACTGATTGTAGCAGAGGTAGTTGATAGCTAACTACCTCTACCACAACGTATGAGTTACCTTCCGTTACACACAGTGTGACAGGGGTCCGTCTAATCTCACGTTTACTTTAATATCTAAGGAATACGACGATATTCTACTAGCGAACATTTGGTCGAGTTAATCCCCGTACTGGAACGCGAATGCTTAGAAGTAATTAAGACGGTTGAATTATTTATGACTACACCAGTGTTTCGATTTTATATTAAAAAAAAAAAACAAAAACTGCAGGAAAAACACTGGAAGAACATCAGAGTAATATCCAGCGTGCTCGAAACTCGAAGAAGAAGCTACATGCGAACCACACCGGATGTATCGAATAATCGGGGAACAGTTGTGAACAAAATATTAATACCTACATTTAAAACGACTGACGGCTAACAAAGTTATACTTCCTAAACTTAATCTTAATTTGTTGATTTATAAAATAAACGTTTATTCATAACGTAAATTCGATTAGTCGGATACCTCCATTAGATTCATTCCTTTACAAAAGGTCCGCCCATAAAGGTGTTCTATTTACCGTCCGATTTAATACGGGCTCGCTTACAACGATAGACGCCATTTTTAGGACCAATTCTACTCCGAGGTTAATTTTATTTAACAAGATTGAATATTGGTATCTTATGACGTTTTATTCGAAAATCAATTTGCTGGGTTAGTTATGGAGGTAAAATCGTGAATTGATCAATTTGTCTAAAAGTGTGATGGTCTAACTTTATTAGAATTAATATAAACGGTATCACTCTAACAATCATGGGCTCTTATTAAATTTCTTTTACATTAAACATGAATTATTTAATACAGAATAGTATTACATAATATATAGTTGCCGGTTAGCCTAAAAACAACCGGGAAAAACTTATAGTTAACATGTTGTTCTTAGTAAAATACTTTTCCTGCTAAATAAATTGATTTCTAAATAATATACATGTTGTGTCAATTTAAGACCAAAGATATGTTATCCATTACATACTTATGTAACAGATAAAATATCTTTGGTCCTAAATTGATGAGATTAACTAAAATGAAATGTCATTTTAAGTTAGGCAATATTAGTTGTATTGTGCTGTTTTTATGTTAGTTTAGTTGTTAGTTAGTTAAGATTGTAAGTCGATCGCCACATGCCGGGGCCTCTATGAGAAGCGAGGCAGAATATTACCACGAACAAAATTTATCATAAAATTAATTGACACACTAATTATAATATATCCATGAAAAGATTTTTCAAACGGTTGCGGTTTTCCTTCGTTCAGCAATGAGTCTGTAACAATGGAGAATCAAAAATGTTTACATGTTTTTAAGTTCAAGTTCGCTTAAATTGTTCTCTCTCTCTTTTACCTCTCCTCTTTCTTCTCCGTTAGAAAATTTTAGATTAGAGTAAATAAAGATTAAGCAATACTGGAATTAGATTGATTTTAAACTTTATTTTAACGTAAGTGTTATATAAATACATTGGATTGAGAAAATGTTCGTATAAAATGCATTATTAACTCACTGATCCACAACAACGAAGGCGAATGGAAGCTTCTCTCAGCTCGTTGTATAGAGAAATAAGTGATAGGATTCTGAATTGGCTGTTCATTATGATTCTATTTGACT